GAGCCAGTGAGATTCTTATCACAAATCAACTGAAAATGGACAATAGCGTGCCTTCTTCTTGCTCGTGTAAGCACCAGTCCCCAACTCGTGATTCAATTCAATCTCTCTTCTCGATTAGCCACAACAGGCTTAATTTAGAAAGGATCCAATCCCTCTTGGATATTTTTTCCCCCAATCCAATTGCATTTATGTTTGAAAATAAGTCCAATTAACCAGGCCTCCTGGAGACAAAGAGTGAGTTTATTTGGTACTAAACATAAGAAAACATAGAGGGATACTAAATGAGTATTTCATGTCAGTATTTACATAGAGAGGATATGGAAGCTAGAGTACTTGGTAAAATAAACAGTGATATACAATCCCTACAGAGTGGAAACAGGCCATTTGGCCCAACAAGTTCACACCGGCTCTCTGAAGAGCATGTCACCCAGACTCACCCCCCTACCCTATTCCTGCAGTTCCCATAGCTAATCCACCTAACCTACACATCCCTGGACACTATGGGCAATTTAGCATGGCCAATCCACCTAACCTGCACATCTTTGGACTGTGGGAGGAAACCCACGCAGACACGGGGAGAATGTGCAAACTCCACACAGACAGTTGCCTGAGGCTGGAATTGAACTGGAATAGACAAGTGTGTGCTGGGCTTTTTGCGGAAATATTTGTACCATTGTAGCCAGGGAAGACTCCAGGGTGGCTAATGTGGTGCCCTTATTTAAGAAAGGTGGCAAGAAAAGCCAGGGAATGATAGACTGGTGAGCCCGACATCAGTGGTGAATAAGCTGTTGGAGGGGATTCTGAGGGACAGGATTTACATTTATTTTGAAAGGCAAGGACTGATTAGGGATAGACAGCATAGTTTTGTGCATGGGAAATTGTATCTCACTAACTTGATCGTGTTTTCTGAAGAAGTGACAAAGAAGAATTATGAAGGCAAGGCGGTGATGTTGTGTACATGGACTTCAGCAAGGTGTTAGACAAGATTCCATGGAACCCAGCGAGAGCTAGCCATTTGGATAGAAAATTGGCTCGAAGGTAGGAGACAGACAGCAGGCCTATGACCAGCTGGATCCACTGCTTTTTGACGTTTATATAAATGATTTGGATGTGAACTTAAGAGGAATGGTTAGTACGTTTGCAAATTGGTGTAGTGGACACTGAAGAAGGTTATCTAAGAGTACAACAGGACCTTGAACAGATGGGCCAATGGGCCAAGGAGTGGAGATTGAGTTTAATTTAAATAAATGTGAGGTGTTGCATTTTGGTATGCCAAATCAGGGCAGGACTATTACGCTTAATGGTAGGATCCCCATAGTCGGGAATGCTGCCAAACAAAGAAACCTTGGGGTGCAGGCTCATGGTTCCTTGAAGGTAGAGTCACAAGTAGACAGGGTAGTGAAAGAGATAGTAGGAACTGCAGATGCTGGAGAATCCGAGACAACAAGGTGCAGGGCTGGATGAACACAGCAGGCCAAGCAGCATCAT